CATCCGAGGCAATTCAAGATTGGAGATTGGGTGCTACGCAAAGTAATGGGAAACACCCTGGTCCCCAGAGATGGCAAGTTAGGGCCCAATTGGGAAGGACCTTACAAAGTGATTGGATTAGTAGGAAAAAGGGCATACCACTTGGAAGATGAAGACAGCAAGGCCATTCCCAGGCCATGGAACACTGTCAATCTCAAACTCTTTTATTTTTAGCTTTTCTTTAAGCGTACTTGTAATTTTTTTTTTCAATAAAATAAGTAGTTTCCTTTTCAGCATAATTGTTTTCTTCTATAAAAGTTGTTTTAGTGAGCTAGGGGCAATGAAAGCAGTGTTGGCCGGAATAACCAACACTTGGCTCTAGGTTGGCAGGAATAACCAACTATGAGCCCTCTTTAGCCAAGATTAGGATCTAGGCTGAAAAAGTTTGGCCGGAATAACCAAACACCTCACTCAAGGTTGGCAGGGATAACCAACTTTGAGCTCTCTTCAGCCAAGATCAGGATCTAGGCTGAAGAGGTTGGCTGGAAAAACCAACACTTACTTCTCCTAAGCCGAGATTAGGATCTGGGCTGTAGGAAGTTTGGCCGGAATAACCAAACACCTTACTCAAGGTTGGCTGGAACAACCAACTTTGAGCTCTCTTCATCCAAGATCAGGATTTAGGCTGAAGAGGTTGGCTAAAAAAACCAACACTTACTTCTCCTAAGCCGAGATAAGGATCTGGACTGCAGGAAGTTTGGCCGGAATAACCAAACACTTTACTCTAAGTTGGCAGGAATAACTAACTTTGAGCTCTCTTCAACCAAGATCAGGATCTAGGCTGAAGAGGTTGGCTAGAAAAACCAACACTTAGTACTCTTCAGCCGAGATAAGGATCTAGACTGAAGAGTGGTTGGCTGGAATAACCAAACTTTAAGTACTCTTCAGCCGAGATAAGGATCTAGCCTGAAGAGTGGTTGGCTGGAATAACCAACTTTAAGCACTCTTCAGCCGAGGTAACGGATCTAGGCTGAAGAGGTTGGCTGGTATGACCAAACAAGATTACAAGGTTAAGACCGAGATAGGTATCTCGGCCAGAAAATGTTACACTGAACACAAAATGAGTGTAGGAATGGAACAGACCGAATAGAAAAGAGATTTTCTTTCAAAATCCAAATCAGAAGTACAAAAGGTGGGGCCTCAGCCCGGTTACAAACTCTTTTGTCAAACAAGGAAAAGAAAAATCAGGAGAAAAGGTCGTCCAAGTCGGCATCCAAAACAACCCGATCTTCACCCAGAGGTAGCCCAGTTATGGAAAGCACACCTTAGTTGAGCTTGATCGAAGGCACCACAACAGTCGTAACAGGTGAAGGTGAGATGGAGACCACTGGAGTGGGAGAGATAGATTGGCGACCGAGCTGGGAGTCGTTTTGAGGAGCAGGGTCCTCGTCCTCATCCCCTTCCTGAAGAAATTTTTGTTGCACTGCATTCGCGTACTCCACCATGTAGCTCGGTATAAAATATGGAGGAGTGTTGAGGAAGACCTCGGTCTCTTGGCTATGACCGAGCTGCGCCACAGCTACTTTCCATCCACATTTGAAGAATATATCTTTTGCAGCTTCGCATTGTTGGATGTAAGTGGCCTCCCCCTCCTTATAACCCCGGTCTTCGGCATCTTCCACACTTTTCTCTAGCTTGGTGATCTTTGCATCTTTCTTCTTCTCGAGCTTGGCCAGCTCGCGCAAATATTTATCTTTCAGCACTGCCGCAGCCTTCTGCTTATCTACTTCGACCGAGTTGACTAGTCCGGTGAGTCGGGCTATTTCGATCTGTAGCTCGGCCATCTTCTGCTTGGACTCTTCTAGCTCGGGCGATTTAGCATTGGCCTCTGCCATGGTCTGCCTTGTGGTCTTTCTAAGTTCCAGCACGCGCTTGTGAGCGACGTGGTTCTTCTGCATGGCCTGCAAAAGGAGAGATAGCTTTTGTGAATAAAAATCGAGCAAACAGATTGTATAAAATGAAAAAATGATTAGAAGGAGCACTTACCAACACCATTGACTTCGTCGCCGACTAGATGGCCTTTAGCTCGGCCAAGTGGTCATGGTGTTCCATGTCAGAAGGCAAGCACACACTCCTAGCCAGGTTAAAGGCAAGTGTATGATCTTTGTCTGCTACAACTGAATCTGTGTCTTGGATAGCTCGGTTCCTAAATGTAAGTTTTGGGGCCCATTCGGAAGGGCTAGCTCGGTCAGAACCCGCGGGCTCTGGGCTCGGTTGTGTGGTTTGGGAAAGAATGGTGTCTTCTTCATCAACGAGGCACGGCTCGATCGTGGAAGTCCAGGCACGCTTGCTTGGCCGAGATGATGAAGGCTGGGTGGTTGGAAGGGCTACCACGGCCTCTTGTGTTTGGCCGGTTTGTGGTACCTCGGCCTGATTTGTTTCGATAATGAGGGCCCTAACTGCTCTCTTTTTGGCCATCTCTTGTTCCACTATTAATGGAATGAGGTTGATTTGTGGAAGGGAAGGATCAGGTTCTGGTGATGGCTCTAAGAGGAAGTCTGTCACTCTAGTCTTCCTCCTACTACTGTATCGGTATGTCAGTTCGAAATTGAGTAGCTGGGCCCAACCTCGTTCGTGGTACCGCAGCGCGGTGCGAAGGGCGTCTAGGTTGGGGTAATTGTACTGCGACTTTAGATGGTTCAAATTTGCATAAAGAAAAAAGACAACGGTTAGTGCGGTTCAAAACTTACAAACGGAGTAAAGAATGCATGCAGTGAGCCGAGGTATGTATACCGGCTACTCCTTTATTCCAGTTAATTCGGTCACCCGGGATCTGGGCCTCTTGGTCTTCAAAGTTGCCCAAGACCCAGAAAAAATCATAGTCATTAACATCTTTGTCTGGGGTGTTCGTTATTATTTTTTCTCGGTGACGTCTTATTCTTAAATAATATACCCAGCCATCTTCGTTCTGGCCTAGAGAGTACTGGTGAAATAGCTCAGCTAAATCGAGGTTGAGGCCAAGCCGGCGATTTAGCTCGGCGATGCAATTTATTATTCGGTAAGAATTGGTGGAAAGTTGGGTAGGGCAAAGTCTTGTTTGCCTAAGGAACTCACAAAGGAGTGGTTGGACGGGGAATCGAGGTCCGGCTTCTACAATGGATATGACGTTGAAAGGGACAAAGCCCGGTTTTTCCCAGGAAATGGTGTCTAATTCGGCTAGTGAGAGGTGGACGTCATCAGGGATGTTGTAGTCCCTTCGAAACTCGGCTATAGCCCCTGGGGAGTTTACTAAAAATCTATATTTACCCATGTGGATTTAAATTAAGATATAAATTAGCTCGGTGTTGAGAAGGAGTGGAGTATCTCGGTTGAAGCGTTTAAAGGAGTGCCTGGGCAACCTAAGTCAGTCTGCAAAGTGAAAAGGAAAAGTGTTAAGCACAGATCGTTGGACCGTGCTAAGTACAAAGGTAAAATAAACAAAAGCCTAGCTCGGCTATGAGGAATACTGTCTGTTTTTAGTTCGGTTGGTGCAGGGGATCTTAGCTCGGCTAAATGAAACTAAAGGATTGGCACGTAATTTTATTTCGGTCATTTGAAGAAATTATCTAATTTGGCATGAAGTTTCAATTCGGTTATTGAAGAAGTTATCTAGTTTGACTGGGTGCATACCTAAAGAGTTCCCTAGTCCGGTTATACCTAAGCCTAGAGTTGCCCAAACAGGTTTTTAGCTCGGTCACACCACGATTCTAGATTCAAACTTCATGTTTTTTTAATCCAGAGGGTGTGTTCTTGAACGTGAACCTATGGTTTGGGGGTCTGGTTTTTGGTACTATCTGTTCTTCCCATTTTCATCAAAGCTACAGAGTATGTTTTCTAATATATATGAGTATATATATATATCCATATTATGTATATTCGCAGACTGAATGGAAAGAAAGAGGTTTGAGCCACGTACCAGTTCAAAGATCTTGGAAATGAAGATGGAAACGGCACTAGTAGAAAACACGAGCTTTGCAGATGCAGTGTTGAAGAAAAATGGAGTCTCAGAAGGTAGAGAGAGAAGATAATGAATAGTGATATGTTTTGTTCGAAGAATAGGGTTCTGTTTTGTGTAAAGAGAGTGAAAAATACAGGACTGTTCAAATTTTGCGAAGTATGAAGGCGGCGTGGCAACTGTATTTGGCCAATAAAAGCTAGCCACGTGTACATGGAATAGAAAGCGATTCAGTTACAGCGACTGAAAAGACGTTTTGACCGGACAGATTAGTAGCCCGGTGTCAATTTAGCTCGGTTGAAAGGCTAAAAGTTTTAGCTCGCCTGGTAATAGGTAATCCCAATCATGCTGCGCAGATGGAATTAAGGGGCAATTGAGAGAGAAGTTTTTATATGCACTAGGGCCGAGCTAGGCCAAGGCGCGGTAATGGGCCATTCTGTGGGCCACGGTAAAAAGGGCCAAGTGAAAGGACTTGCAGTTAACTCGGTCCAATTGCGGTTGTGATTACCACGGTCGGTATGGTGATATTTAGCTCGGTCATGGTATTTAGAACTAAGGTATTTGGGCTTCTTATGGTGGATCTTACTCTCGTTAGCTCAGTCAAAGCTTACTGCGGTTAGCTCGATCTCGACGGACCAAACCGAGGTACAAGCAATGAAGGGAAGAACCAAGCCAGTTGGAGCTCTGTCATTTCTGCCGCTTTAGCATGACCATGTTAGCTCGGTCGTTTTGTCATACTACCGAGGTAAAACCATCTCACTTAGTTTAAGCAGTGTTAGGGAAAATCGATGTGATTCCCCACAAGTAAATCAATCAATGGGAATAAAAACTAATGCGGAAAAATTAAATCAAAGGCAACACAAGAATTTTTACGTGGTTCCCTCAATGTGAGGTACGTCCACGGGATCGAAATCCGATTCCACTATCAACCAAATAATTCCAAACGATTACAAACGAGACACTAATGGTCTCACGGGAAAAAAAAAAAAAAAAAAAAAAATTAATCAGATCGATAGGTATCGAAGCATTACACAAAAAAGTTTTAAAAATTTGGAAGATTCTTCAGATATGAACTGGGAAATACCTCAGCGAGCGCATGAGAGAACTGAGAATATGTGATGTGACTGCTATCGGTTTCAAAAAAGTGTAATGGGCCAACGCCTTTTGTTGACAATTTGTGCGACAAGTCCTATGTGGTGAGAATTCACAAGAGGAAAAAAAACACAATTAAAGTGATTCAACGTCATTGTAATAAATTAATGACAACAATAGAAACAATCAAATATTTTTATTCTACACACATTGATGTTACCAAGGACTGCTTCCATGAAGCTTTCTTTTACTGGCCTTTGATAGTTGCTAGGGTTGTGGAGAAAAATAAAATCCACTCCACATACATTGCCTCGGTGGTTATGATGGCTAATCCACTGCAAAATGAACTATACATTCAGCATCTTATTTTGAGATGTCCATAAATACACAAAATTGGGGGCAAAACAACCTTAGATAAATCTTCAGCATCGTTTGTGTAAGGATGAGCAATATCATAGGATGAGACAAAACCTTGTGATTGCAGAAACTTATAAACATTCCCCTTCTTACTGCCATTCCAATCCCTACAAAAAGTTTTTGAGGGACAGATGAATTAGATATTATTTCCTTCATTTGAGAGAGAGAGAGAGAGAGAGATGGGAAAAGGGTACATTATGGAGTCCCTAAAGTGTACTGCTGATTTAATTTTGGTTCCTCATTTTTATTTGTATCAATTGCATCCTAAACATCACACATCAATCCATTTTAGTCCTTTACCCTAACTGTCGTCTAAACACATGAAAAATGCTTACGCAGTCTCACGTCAGGCATGGCATTTGAAGGGCATTAGGAAGAATTTATCCCATTTCCTACCTAAATGAGTCATGAGACATGCGAAATGCACATTATTTACAAAACATTACACATCAAAGTTTTTCACTCTATTATTCATGACCGAATGCATAGCATATTTGTTTTTTGATAACCAGGTGTTCGTGCTAGCTTACACGCCGAATGCATAGCATATTTGGTTCTTTCATTGATAGTATTTAGCATAAATAGATGTATTAAAACATCTTTTATGTCCTTAAACGCTTGATGTGAGGCTGATGTAAACATTTTTCATCTGTTCTTTAGACAACGGTTAAGGGAAGGGATTACATAGGATTAATGTATGAAAGTTTAGAGATAGAAATGATACAAATTAAAGATTAGGGACCAAAATGAAATCAATAGTATACTTTAGGGAACATTTGTGAAATTTACCCGATGAGAAAAAAAATTGTCTTATTCAGTTATCAGGTGGCTTAGACGTTACCCGCATAAAATGACAGGAACGGGTGGCAGCTCATTTTCGTGACAATATGAATCTATGTACTTTAACATCTTGTATACCTATGGGAGGAAAGATAAAAGCAAAGCAAGGTCACAAAGCTTCATATTTTAGTATGTTGAAACATAGTGTTGTTGGATGTAACATAACCTAAAATATAGCAAGTAAAAACCATCACCTGTTTTAACCGGACAAAGCAATAACTAGAATCATGGGGGAAAATTAAGTGTGTATTCATGACAAGAACTTCCTTCCTTGTGTTAGTGAGTTGGTTTTCAGAAAAATGAACAAGTAACTCAACGTGTAGAAGCTGCGCCACACGATCACCGATGTCATTGAATAGACATTCTTGGTAATTCAACACATGGAAGTGGTTCTGGTGCACTGCTGTAAGTAGACCTGTACCAACACAATCAATAGATGCTCAATTGTATAGAAAATTAATTCCAAATCTTAGTTCAGCTGAACATGAAAATCATAGTACATTAAGGTTAAATCAATTTCAAGAATCGAGCAGAATTTGCTTTACATTTAAGCAATCCTGAATTATCACACAATTACATGAAACTGTTATGCTATGATGACCACTTAGACCAAATTTTTTTGGGATATTTCTCTTCTACTTTTGTACCTGATTACATAAGGGATAGAATAATCCGATTATATAAGAGGCATCACAAACAAACTCATGAATTGAAGAATAAAGCACGATAAATCTGGGTTGCAAATACAAATCATGTGGGAGTAGAATAATTCAAGACTCATCAGAATGTTGGACAAGATTGCTACTAGAAACCAAAGAAAAGGGAAAAGACAGTTAAGTACAACAAAAAAAACAAATCAAGAAAACCCAACGAAGATCAAATAATACCAACCCAAAAAAGTAACAACATTACTAGCCAAGTAGACGGAACAAAAATTTGGCAATGTACCATCTCCCCTGTTATTTGTACGAGCAAGTTTGTAAGTCACATAACCGGCATCCCCAAGTCTCTTCTCGTACATTGTAACAAGTTCTTCATTGTGCACCCAAAATTCCTAACTCCAAATAAAAAATAAAAAAATTGCAAAAACATCCCACAATATCATACCGTAAAATGGGAACCAACTTCTTCTAGACAAGTATATAGAAATGATCATCTAAAACCCACAAACTAAAAACCTGTAAACAAATAATCGAGGAACTCAAAGTGAGTAGCCTATCCAGTATGCTCTCGTTCCGACTAAGCCAAAGTTCCCGGAATTCACTCTCACAATTCTGACATATTTCATTGAAGTTACAAGTTACAACAGTTACTAAATCATTAACTTCTAAAGGTAGATAGAATTCAAAGAATCTAAAGGCATACCTGACCGTTCAATCGCTTGTAAATTGGTGCTAGAATATTGAAAGTAGTACAAGAAACACACCCAACGGAATTTGAACTGGGAGCCTGCTGTTCCTCATCGCAAAAATCTTGCATTGATTCACCCATTGACTCCACAAAAGGGCTGAAAACAAAGAAAAAATTGTTTGTTATATGGAAAGTTCTTTTGGAACTTTCATCAAACACTTGATATGACCAATCAAAAACTGGCAGTTACATATATATACAGTAACTGCAAGAACAAACAAAGTAGTGGGTATCAGAGAAACTTGTCCAATTGAGCATGTTGGATTTACAAAAAGTGATTTATACCTCTTGAAAGAATTAATTCAAAAAGCGAACAACTGGGTGGTGATGAATGAGAAATTTGAACTGTAAAATAACTGATGTATTATTATTGATTTGTATTAATTGATTTTTATCTGTATATTATAATTCCTATATATAGAGGAGATGATGGTAGTAGGTGAAGGTGGTAGTGGAGGTGGTAGGTGGAGTGGGTGGTGTGGTAATTTACACAATTTACATTAACATGAACAACTTTCACATGTCTGTCAAAAAAATGCAAGAAATGCAATAAATAGAGGCAAGTATTCTATACAAATTTTGAAAATTAGTTATGGTGTGTTTGGTTGGGAAATTTGGAGAGAGATTTGAAAAGGAAAGAGAAAAGGTGTGTGAAACTAAGTAAAATATAGGTATATTTTATTCACATTTTTCTTATCTTTATCATTTCTCTTTTTAAATTTCTTCTCAAATTCTCTAACCAAACACAGCATTAATAACTGAACTTTCTAATGAATCTAAATTGGGTTCATCACGACAAATTTAAAAAACCAAAAAACAAAAATGTTTAGTCAAACAATTTCCTAGTTATATAGAAGAGAAATAACACAGAGCGATAGAACACAGGACACGTAATTTCGAAGGAAGGTGGTGACAGTTCGTGGTATGCACACCTCTTGTTAGTGCACGGTGGGGCCACCTATTTTTGTTTTGTTTAGACAACGTTTTGATTTTAAAATTGATGTCTCTTGGGAATAATTAGGCAAGTTTGACTACATTCAAAAAAATTAAAAAGTCAAAAAGTTACTTAAAAAGTTAAAAAGTTAACACTATTCATCAAAAGTCAACAATTACGGCTGCACAACTCTCAATTCAAATTTTTTCCTACAAATCAATTTTTACACTTTTTTATTACACATTTTTCAATAAAAAGTCAAAAAATTAATCCAAACATTCATATTTTCAACCTTAATTTTTTAGTCCAAAAAGTACATTTTTTTAGTCTTCCCAAACTTGGCCTTAGTAAAAGGAATCTTTCACTTCTATAGAATATAGTGTTTGAATTTCTTTAGAAATGTTTACAATTTTTATTTATTTATTTGTAGAAAATATTTAAAACATTATAATTATTTTAATAAAAATAAATACAATATATATATGTTTGGTATAGATATATTTTTAAAAACTCAAGATGGTCGAAGATGATTTTTTTTGTTGGAAGTGAGTAAAGATGAAGAGACTCACCAAGGTGATTACGACGGTGGTCAGAGTGGGTTGTTGTTTGTAGACTAGTGAGATGACGGTATGTAGTGTTGGTAACGGGCAATAGGTGGTGGTAGAAGAAGGTGAGAAAAGAATGAATGAAAATTTATTTTCAAACTACAAAAAACAAATACTAGCGTTTAATAATAAAATTTGTAATTTAAAAAAAAAAACTAAAATAGCTAACAAATTTAACAACTATTTCAGTTTCCAAGAAAATTTAAATATTTTCAAATTTTAATAGTTTTACTTTTATTTTTTTAACTACAATTTTACAAAATTTTAAACTTTTTTTAAAAGTTATGTTTAAAAGTAAATATAAGATCAAATTGCAATATGGTATAGAAATTTTTAAGTATTATTCAAAGTTTCTTAGGATTTCTCCTTCGAACATACACAAATAATGTGTCCCCCTCCCAAAAAAAAAAAAAAAAAAAAAAAAAAACATTTTGAAGCGCATAAATTTCAATCCATCATCATAAAAGTAGGAATGAAGGAATGATATTAAAAGAATATTAAAAGAGTAAATAAATAAAGAAGGAATGAATAAAGTGAAAACGGACGGGGTGTCCCCAAAAAAAAATAATATTAAAAGAAATGAGGAATGAAGTGAAAGCCTAAATTTTAAGCACGTTGGAATCATTTAACAATTTTTTACAGTACCTTTCATTTGAAAAATTATATAATAGTTTTAGAGTATAGCGTGGTCATACTTTTTTATTAATATTTATTATATATTTTTATATTTTTTAATAATTTAATAGAAATAATTAATATTATATTTTTTTTATCAATCATATTATCATAAAATATTACATAATTGAGAGGGTAATTTTTAGTAAAAATTGGGCCGAGCTACAGAGATGGACTTTATGACCCAAAGTACGAAGGACTAGGTAAAAAGACCCAATGGAAATGTAAAAGTTACTCCGGACCAAGAGTAAGAAAGTTACTCCGGTTCAAGAAATGGTAAAGTTACTTCGGCCCAGAAAAGATGTTGAGTTACTTCGGTCCGTACAACTTTTCTAGTAAGGCCGGTCTCGGAGATAGTCCGGCCATGATGTATTCTGGGTAGGTCGGTCGAAATGTTGCTAATCGGTAGATCGGTCCAACCACACCATGGTTCATGCATGAGAGAACCGAAATATGATGTAGCAAGAAGAAGAACCGAACTACTGTTAGTACGGCTTACTCCGTGGCTCGGTATAGCCAGTATTATTTCGGTCATGTGGTAGTTCGGCCATAGTAAAAACCATCCCACTTGGTTTAAGCAGTGGGGGGTGTAAAAGGATAAGCATTATCCTTTAGGAGTATGAATCCTAAGAGGACTCTGCATGGAGAAATAAAAGTCCTACTAGGATTGGGCCACTCGAAACTTATAAAAGCTCACAAGCATCACCTTGGAAGGAGGTAACATAACACAACACACAATTTTGCTTCCTGATTACATTGAGATTTGTCTATTTGTCAAGTTTTCTGACTTAAGCATCGAAGAGGTTTCCGGCACACACCCACCGGCTAGCTCACATTTGTATTTTCAAGTAACAAAGCGACGTCGTACGGAGGAGCGTGGACTTAGTCAATAGGATTATACGAGGAGAATTATTTCTTCCCCGTACAATTGGCGCCGTCTGTGGGAAAAACAGACAAGAACAAAACCTCTTGATTAAAGCTTCTCCCATTTACATTCAATGGCACACATTGAAGACTTGCCGCAGTCCGCCGTCGACGGACTAACTCCAGAAGGGGGCGCAAGGCGTGAAGGATTACCTTCTGTCCCTCCCATGGCGGACTTGGAGCCTCAAAGACATACCTCCAGGAGGGATGCTAGGGGGAGACGGACTCACAGGCCCCGTCAATCCCATTCTCAAAGTCCCGACAGGCAAAGATGGAGGATTGACCCTCAAGCTCTGGAAGATCGCGTGAAAGAGCAAGATGAATTGATAAAGAAGATGGCGGCGGACATGGAAGCCTTGAAGCGCCAGATGAAGAAAAAAGAAGTGGCGACAGGAGAGGGGCGCAAAAACAAGACTCCCCCTCGCCACTCAGAAAATCGTAGTAGGAATACTACACCCTCGCAAGGAGAGAGCAGAAGCCTCAGGACAGGCGACACTCAATCCTGGTCTTCCAGAACTCGTCACTCCAGGTCTGAGAGGACGAGATCTGAAAGGTCATACACTGAAGGAAGCACATATTGGCCTTCACATTCGAACCAAACTAGATCTAGACAGACAGAATTACCTAGATCATCCGACTTACGAACCGTGCTCGAAGAGAGAGCACGATGCAAGGAGGATGCCAGGGCAAAGGATCCACATAAAGTTTTAGCCTTGCAACGGTTGGCTCCTCGAACGCATGGAAGCATCGAGGTTGGAATGCCAATACGGCGACCGGCCTACAAACCAACGGACAAAGCATTGGCAAGACTACAGACTTCGCCGTTCATTCCAGCAATCGAAAACGCGCCCCTTCCATCAGGCTTCCTTCAACCGAAATTCACTACATATGAAGGGAAGACAGATCCCTACTCACACTTGAGCCACTTTCGCCAAGTCATGGCTGTATACAGACGAAACGAGGCCTTAATGTGCATACTCTTCCCATCAAGCCTTGGCGACCTAGGCTTGACTTGGTTCGAAAAACTTCCAGAAGGCAGCATAGCCTCCTGGGCTCAATTGGCAGAAGCGTTCGTAACAAGGTTCCGAACAAACACAAAAACACCGATGGAGATCGACCAGTTACTCTCCATCGACATGGGGGATAAAGAGACCCTTAGATCCTACAACAGTCGCTACTGGGAAACATTCAATCAGATTGGGGACTGCCCCACCAATCTCGCCATTGCACAATATAAAAGAGGCCTTCCAGTTGGGAACAGACTGAGGGACTCGATTACCATGACGCCACCCCTCACTATGGAAGCCCTGATGGAAAGAGTGCATCAGCACATCAGGGTAGAAGAGGATGGCGCACGTGCCAAAGCAAAATCTAGTGCGACCGCAGTACCAGAAAAGAAGACCTCAGCAAAGGTCAATACAGTAGATCGTCAGAGCAAAAACGGACATGGCAGACGAGATAACGGAGAAGACCCTGATAAAAGATGGTTGAGAGTCCGTACTGCCATAACCACGGTGTTCAAGAAACCGATATATCGGATTCTTAGCGAAATAAGAGATGAGCCTTTCGTCAAGTGGCCAGCCAAGCTAGGAGAAGCCCAGAAGGATTATGACGAAAGATAGTGGTGCACCTTCCACAAAGAAAAAGGGCACCGCACTGAGAATTGCACGCCATTGAGACAACACTTAGAAGAATTGGTGGCAGCAGGCCACTTGGATAAATATATTGAATGAGGAACGCAACCAGCCCCCAAGATCATAATAACCCCAACGGAATGCCAATCGACGCCCCACCTCAAGGCATTATCAATGTAATACATGGAGTCTTTGAACCTGAGCGTGTATGCGAGCTCAGGGGATCAATCAAGAAAGCTGAGCACTTTAGAGAAGTGTTAAGTGCACAACCTGCCATCAAGAAGGGGAAGACAGAGGCAACAAATGTTATGTCTTTTTCGGATAAAGACTTGGATCGAATATACTGTCCTCACAATGATGCCCTAGTCGTCACTCTCCGAGTCAAGGATTTTGACGTCAAGCGGATTCTGATTGACCAGGGTAGTTCATATGAAATCATGTACTACGACACATTTAAACAACTGAAGCTACAAGACAAAGACTTGGCGCCTGTAGTTTCTCCCCTAATTGGATTCAACTCCATGCCAGAGTGCCCCGTCGGCAAAATAATTCTTCCGGTCAGAGCAGGAAGCGTAACAAAACAAGTGGAGTTCTGGGTATTGAAGGTCCCCTCCACTTACAATATCATCTTGGGCAGAACATGGCTGCACGTCATGCGTTCGGTGGCGTCATCCTACCATCAGGTAATGCGGTTCCCCAACGACACCGGTATAATTGAAGAAGTCTATGGAGATCAGATCATGTCAAAACAATGTTTCGCCACGGTAAATGGCAGCCGCGCTGCCAAAGGATACGTTCATTCGGTGGAGGAACCTGAAAGTAATGAACTATTCGCGGACGTCGGTAAAGAGGCTGATCAGAAAGCGGTGGAGGACTTGGTGGAGGTAAAAATAGATGAGAAGAACCCGGATAAGTTCTTTTTGCTTGGCTCATCGTTGTCCAGCGCTGAGAGATTAGAGGTCTTGGAATTCTTGACCTCTAACATCGAAGTGTTTGCCTGGACGCCCTACGACATGCCAGGCATTGATCCAGACTTCATTAGTCACCAACTCAATGTCCACCCATCCGTCAGACCAGTCATACAACGCACACGCAGATCGGCACTCCACAACGCCGAAATAGTGGCGGAAGAAGTAGGCAACCTGCTGGAAGCAGGAGCAATTAGAGAAGTGCACTACCCAAGATGGATCTCCAACACAGTCATAGTGCCAAAGAAAAATGGCAAATGGCGAGTCTGCGTCGACTACAAAACAGTCAACAAGGCGTGCCCAAAAGACAGCTTTCCTTTACCCCGAATAGATCAACTAGTGGACCTGACGGCAGGGCACAACCGACTTAGCTCTCTGGATGCATACAGAGGCTATCACCAAATTGCCATGCATGAGCCAGACCAGGAGGTCACATCTTTTACAACTCCAAGAGGACTATACTGTTACAAGGTCATGCCCTTTGGCCTGAAGAACGCAGGGGCGACATTCCAACGGATGGTCACCAAGATGTTTGAACCATTGTTAGGCAGAACAATGGAGGCTTACATCGACGACATGGTGGTCAAAAGCAAGGATGAGAATGACCATCTCAAGGACTTAGGAGAGATGTTTGAAGTCTTGAAGAAGCACAAGTTACGCCTCAATGCATCCAAGTGCGCATTCGGAGTAGGATCTGGCAAATTCTTGGGCTTCCTTGTGACCAACCGGGGTATAGAGGCAGACCCCTCCCAGATCAAAGCAATCCAGAAGTTGGAGAGACCAAACTCAGTCAAAGAAGTGCAGCATCTTACCGGCATGGCGGCTGCGTTCAATCGGTTCATAAGCAGGTCGTCGGACAGACTACGACCATTCTTCCAAGCTTTAAAAGCCAAGTTTGAGTGGGATAAGGAATGCGACCGAGCTCTAGAAAGCTTGAAGGAATATATGTCTTCCCCACCATTGCTTGTTACCCCAGTACCTGGTGAAGAACTCTTCTTGTACCTTGCAGTCTCTCAGCACGCAGTTAGCGCAGTGTTGGTTCGTGCAGAAGGAATAAAACACTTGCCTATTTTTTATGTCAGCAAGACATTGTTGGGAGCCGAAACAAGGTACTTGCCCTTGGAAAAATTAGTATTGGCCTTAATGATGGCCTCCAGGAAATTGGCACACTACTTTCATGCCCACACCATAGTCGTCCTCACAGCCTTTCCACTAAAAGCTTTGTTTGAAAGGGCGAACTTTAGTGGGCGAATTTTGAAGTGGGCAGTAGAGTTGGGACAATTCGACATCAAGTTCCAACCCAAGACCGCAATAAAAGCCCAATCTTTGGCAGACTTCATCGCAGAGTTTACTCCTGGAAGTCATCATATCTGCCCAGTCGACCTAACTGACACAACCGAACCAGGGACGGAAGTTGACGCCGGAATAGCGCAACCCCTAGTAGAAGGTAAAGTGGTCCTACTATGTCCAAGCCCCACATTGCGACAGGTCATGGGTGGGTAAGTCAATGGTAGGAGTTCTCTAGCTGTTGATGTATTTGATGTGCGAATTTCTGGCATTTTCACATTTCTCACATATTCTCTGAGTCTGCCTGCATATATGGCCTCCAATAACCTTGCGAAATGGCACCTGTAAGCTAGGTGACCTTCCCCTTGATGGCTTCCGCCCACCCCTTTGTGGCATTTCGAACAAGAATGCTCTCCACTTTGCGGATGGACGCACTTTTAGTAAGGTCCCTGAGAATGACTTTCTTGATATAATGCCAAAGATGGAGATAGCCAAAATCGCTGCCGACTTCGCTCGTATTCTGTTGGCTTCTTTTTTTCTCTTTCTGGTGAGTATGCCATCTTTAAGGAACAGGATGATGGGATCCATCCAAGAGGGGCCTAGTTCTGTGCAACCATACTTCTTCTGCTTCGGGTTCTTCTATGCTTGGTCTAGGTAGCGTAGTCGATTTTAGTAGTGGATGAGGTATGGAGGAGTCTGCCATTGAGGCGAAGCCTGCTAGTTCGTCTGCTCTTGCTGTTTTCCTCCCTGCCGATTGCCTGCTATCCTTACTACTTCAATTCTTGATCTCTGTTCTGACCAACTCTTGGTATTGGCCATCCTATCATTCTTTCGGCTTCAATAGTCGCCAGAAATTTGATTTACCACTAGCTGTGAGTCCGCTGTTTGTAAACATTAGTTCGGTGGCCTTCATGTAGCATGCTTAATTTGCAGTCCTGCGAGAAGCGCTTCATTACTCCGCTTCGTTGTTTGATGCTGAGAAGCCAAGGTTGATAGCTTGCTCTACAACCAGGCCGTTCTGGGGAGATGAGACTATGCCAGAAAAAAAAAAAAAAAAAAAAGAAAACCCCTGCACCATGCCGGTTTGGATGCTCCATCCACAAAGAGCTTCCACATCTCTCCAACGAACAACTGTCCAACACGTGGAGGGCTCAGATTGATGCGTGGGGTCAAGAATGATGTTTTTCTTCAAGGTCCATGCTTGCTGTCTGCCCTTCGTCTCTGATTGTACTGTTTGGTGAGGCTTTGTTTGTTTCTTCCTTGTTGTCCTTAGTCTGGTCTGCCTTGGAGTTTTGATGAC